AGCGGGGCGGAGTGGGCGGGGCAGCGAGGCGCAGAGCGTGTTTGGACTTCCTCGCCCCACCCCCTCTGGGAAACGCATTCCAGGAAGACGCGAAGTGCAGCAGAGTGCAATAGTAGCCCTTTCGACGGCTGGGACGTACTCATTTACGGACCAAAGACATGCGAGTTATTTTAATTGTATAGTACTCCATATTCGCTAAAGTAATAGATACCTTACTATTTTTCTTGTTCCTCTTCCTTTTTTGTTCTTTTTACTCTCCTTCCTGGTCTTCTTCAGCCAGTTCTCGCAATCTTCAAATCAGCCTTGGATTTGGTTATGATCCTTTCGCACATTTATAATGTTTGTTCATCAGTAACACACATTCCCAAAATTTGAATCTTAAGCATTAGAATAATTGTCACTAGCAGCTTTTTTTCAAAATAATATTTTTGATTTACATATATTCTTTAAGTTTTCTATTTTAATGGTAACAAAATGCAAGGAATAAAGGTACAGTTAGAAAGCTAAATAAAATCATATAAAATGAAAGAATCTTAATGGGTTGCCGCTAATTAGTCAGTAACTCTGAAGCAGGAGCGTGTTTTGGTCTGTATTTTCTGTGTCCTTTGTAGATACTTCAGTTTTCATTTTTCATATTGTATATTCAGTGTCACTGAAAACAGTATTGTCTGCAACAAATCAGTAAAATAAACGCCTTAATGCTACGGAATTCAAGGGCGCTTTACTACAGTGATGTCAACTGCCAGGTCGCTGCATTGTACTCACTACACCATTCAAAAGAATGCTAGAAATATAGGAAATTCGGTGGGACTATTCTTTCGTTATACAAAAATTTATCACCCAAGTAAAGATACGATTATGAATTTAGAAGCCAGTAAGATGTGACATCACCGCAAATATGCTTGACCCTCTCCACTTATAGGAAAATAATTTATTTTCGGACTCGCAACTCAACAACTCTGATTGCATTTAGTTCAGGATTTAGAAAGCACTAGCGTGTGATTTTCAGAAAGCGCTTGATCGTGAGTCCTAGATTTTAGGTAACACATCTTCAAGCTGGGAAGAAGTATTGCCTCCTTGGGGAGATAACGTTTCTTGAAACGAAAAAAAAGAAAGTTTAAGAGCCCTGCTCGTGAGCAGTGATGTATGAGTTACACGTATCCGGGGTATTCATTGATTGTGAATCCTTCCACCCCGCTAGAGTGGCTGATGTCCCCGGCTTGAAAAATATTAATTTGTCGATAATGTGGCTCCACTTACTTCCACTCGTTACGTACTGTATTCAATGTTTTTCGTATGAAGTTAATAGAAAATAAATAAAGCTTTGTTATATATTTTTATTAACATATATATCCAGTCACATTGTTTATAATTTTGTAATGGTTTATAAAATTTAGTATCTCACATCGCCTTGTTATTATTTAATATACGAAATTAAAATATTATTTATCGAATTAGCCTCTTTATACGTTACGTTTTTGTAATAATCTACTACATCTATATATTATGTTTTCAATAAATCAAAAAATGCCTTAGTAATTACTCCATATAATAATTAAAAACCTTCATTTAAAGAAATTTTAACGCTCATACGTACTCCGCAACACGCGACTCTGTCGGTCTGTTTTTTCACACACGAATCGTGGTTAACTCGAAATGCGAACTTGTTGTTTAGACTTAAGGCCTCGGTTAATAGTTTCCTGGCAGATTAACTGCTTGTTTCCCGATGCTGTAATGAATATGTTATCCCGAGAAGTGGTGGTAATGATTGCCCGCTGGCTTCTAATTTTGAGCATGGTCCTACACGTCGACTTGCTATGGATTTTCCCCTCGAGGTATCTCTTCCCCAGAGGGATACAGCTCCAGTCGGGGCGATCTCTAAGCTCCGAATTGGCCTCCAGAAATGTTCTGTAGTGTAATGCACGTGTGTGTGTGTGTGTGTGAGGAAGGAGGATAGGACAAGGAAGATAGAGGAAAGAAGGTACGCAGCCCGTGATCTGTTCGTTAGCATACGACTCCGGCATGCTCCGTTCTCGTGGTGTTGTTCGGAGAAACCACGGGAAACTACCGATCAGAGCAGCCGACCGCTAGAGTTCTACCTAGCTATCTAGTTAGTGACGAAACTCCTGCCACGGTCGGGACTGCCTCGAACTCTGCCTCCCGGTCAGCACTGTAGTGGCATCAGTTGGTGCCTTAGGGCGCCTTCCCACGTTGCGTCGGCGGCGAGCTTCCGTCAAGCACAGAGCCCGTCCGACGCCGCCACCGCTGCAGCCACGGCCGC